GTATTCATGTAATGAGCATTGTAAAGGTAGATGACAACCAGAACATCAAAGATTTTTTGATCTCCTTTTATTTTGGTAAGTTATTGTTCTACTTTTGATGCTTTTATGCATTAGTATTTACATATTTTACTATCAGTTATTTCAGGTTGTTTAATTTCAAACAGACCAAAGATTCTGTCTTTTACTCCATTTTCACTGCTTCTAATTAATGAAGTGTTACATATTGGAATGAAGAGGTTCAAGTTAGGCTCTGTAGACAAATTATTTTCCCAGTTTAACAATTAATCAAATATTTAAGCTACAGAAGTCTGTTCAGTTCTGCAGCACTGGGCAAATGGCAGCACAGGGCTCACATATGTATTTAATAAGATTAACAGATAACAAATGCTTTACTTTCCTGAACAAGTCACTGTGCCTGACTAAGTGACTTATTCAGGACAGAGTATATCTTTCTCTGTGCACCTATAAGGCACATGACAATGTGCACAAAACAACAGGAATATAAACGGGGTGGAGCCACCACAGACAAATCTCTGCCATCCCCTTGGCAACCCTGCTGTACACACCCCTTCTGCAGTGAAACAACCTTTAGGGGTGTAATAATCCTCCTGAACAATTGGTGGCAGTGTTTAACAGTTTGAAACATCACCAAGCTCAAAGAAGTGACAAAGAAGTATTCTGACTTATGGTGACAAATGTTTTATTTTATTTTTAGTTTTGTCAATACAACACCGTGTCATTTTATGTTCTGAAGGCTGCATGAAATGTCCCTTTAAATTCACTGCTGGTGATTATCAATATTGCACTTGTTCATTGGGTAAAATTATTAATATTAGTTTTAAACATACAGTTGAGGGTCATCATTATTTGGCACAATGACTTGTGTTAAAATTAAAATTAAACCAATAAACAATATAAAAGTAAAAAGCACCCCTAAAGTAATTGGATATGATAAATTGTGTCACATTCATTTATATTATCTCAGCTAAAGCAGTGAGTTTAAAAACAAGATAATGAAACCTGTTTAATGAATAATCTGTCTCTGAAATAATTATTAAATCAAGTCTTTATTTATGTAGACAAAAGTATGTTTACATCCTGGTAAAATACACCCGAATGCAGGAAATGGCATCTATTTCATTCAAAATTTTCTGGGGGAGGACACCCAGATGAATGTCCATGTTTACAAGTTAGTCACTGCCTGTATAAGGACATAAGTAAATGTCCAAAACACAAATATCAGCAGAAACTTTCAAGTAAAAAAATGTGTAATTTTCCTGGCCACCCCTGTGTGAGTAGTGGTCCCAGTCTGGCCACCCCTGAGAAAAATGTCTGGCTCCGCCACTGAATGTAAAGACATGAAAATACAAGAAATTATATTTAAAAAAACATAAACAACACTTATATTTCATTTAAAATTATTCAGCCTGTAGACAGAGTTATTTAACTGTGTAAAAGTCATCGGATGAAATGAAATCCAGACATGTAAACGTCACGTCATGCAGTTTATGAGACGTTCAGGGTTTATTTAAAAAAATAACTGTCTGCGCATGTCCCAGTAAGCTGCTAGATAACGAAATATTAGACAGAGGCCAACTTGTTTTTTTAAACATTATTATTATTATTATTATTATTATTATTATTATTA